CGGAGCCCTCGGCCGGTTGAGCCGCTGCCCGCCCCAGCAGAAGGGCCGATTAGGCCGTGCGGGGAGACTGTGGGAAGCGCGGTGCTCTGCAGCAGGTGGGAATCATCTACCCCGCCAGGCCAGGCTGGGCTCCACCTGGCTCCGGTGGAGGTATCCACCCTCTCAGGGCAGCCGTTGTGCGGGTGGAGCTGGCAGGTCCGTACCCCACACTCCTGGGTGGGGGAGGGTGGAGCTCCACATGGGCTGGCAGCCCACTGGTGATGTAACCCAAAATGTCTTGCTAACATTTTTTTTTTTTTACTGAGAATAGAGTAGATCAGTGTAACTTTGGAATGCGCAGACGCAGCTGAAGGTTGGCGCTTCCATAAAGAAAGGGGTTTGAAGATTAATAAAGTAATAAGATAGTTGGGGCCTGTAAAGATAACAAGAACAAGGACAGGACAAACTAGAACGAACCAGCTCAAGACACAACACAGCTGCACAACCCCTCCCAAAAGACCTTTGTGAGCATGCATGAGCCCTGAGGTCAACCAGCAGACACGGTGAGGAAGACTACCCATGAACACTAGACACCCCTTGAGACCACCACCCAACAGGAAAGCACATGCATAATGAGGGTGCAATTGTTATAATTATGTCCAGGAATGTCATGCATATGAAACTCATTTCTGAGAAAAATTACGAGTATGTATGATCCCACTGTATGACCTTTATAGATCTTGGGCATGCTCACTTTTTGCGAAGCTATTTGCGTGAGCGCCTAGCGCTTCAATAAAGAATGCCTGATTTCTAAAACCCCAAAACAAGTCTTAAGAGAGTTCCTCTGCAGACTTTTATGGTAACACAGGCAACAGGTGGAGGAGCTGCAGGAGGAAGCCAGCAGGTTATGCTGTGGTAGGGAGGGGGAACACGAAAGAGATAATTATTTGAGATGTTGCAAGAAGAAATATTAGGGCCCTGTGGCACTGACCTCCAAGTGCTACCAGACAAAGAGCATCAACAGCAAACAGCAATGTGTACACGGAGGTGCCATGGTCTCTGGTAACCGGTGGCAACAGGATATCACATCCCCCCATTTCCTCCAACATACCAACCAGCAAGAGGTATGAAGTCTTAGCTGTGGACAAAGCCAATGAGCAAGACTTAGAAACCGCACCAGTTGCACACGCTAAAATCTGCAAAAGGCAGCAGAAGTGCAAGTAGTGGCACCAAGGTGCCATCGGCTGGTCTGATATACATACAGTCAAGGGAAGTTTGCTGCTTTCCAAGAGCCAAGATCCGGGGTGTCACAGAGAGACTGCCATAACTGATAAAAGCACAGGCTACTATCCCCTACTTCTTTCCCACGTGGGTACCAATGACACAGCAGAGCATAGCCTGGGCAAGATCAAGGAGGACTTCAGAGCCCTGGGGGCACAAGTGATCTTCCCCTCAGTCTTGCCAGTCAGAAAGAGGGGCATGCGCAGAAGTTGATGCATCATGCAGATCAACACCTGTCTTTGCAGTTGGTGTCGTAGCCAGGCCTTTGGCTTCTATGATCATGTGACTTCTTTGATGAATACAGATTATTGGGAAGCGATGGGATTCGCCTGTCTAGAAGAGGAAGGAGAATCTTTGCTAGCTGGTTGGCTGACTTAATGAATTGTGCTTTTAACTAATGAACAATTAGTTGGAGAGGGATGGGATCCAAAGCTGTGACACTTGTGTACTCACAAGCTACAGGGTGGATGAATGCATCAACCAGAGTAGTGAGGAATGTCCCACAATCCTCCAAAAAGATTCTGGCAAAAAGGTGAGGCAGTCCAACTGAAGTGTCTCTATACCAGTGCATACAACACGGGTAACAGGAGAAGCTGGAAGACACTACACAGCTGGAAAGCTGCAATCTGATTACTGTCACTGAAACTTGGTGGGATAAGTCTCATGACTGCAGCGCTATGAACAATGGTTATAAACTGTTCAGGAGGGACAGGCAAGGAAGAAAAGGGCCGAGGGCATTGTTCTCTATGTTTTAAAAAAATGATTGATTGCACAGAGCTGTGTTTAAAAAACAGCAATGCACAGTTTGAGAGCTTATGGTTGAAAATTATAGACCAAGCCAGCAAAGGAGACCTGTAGGAAGCATCACGCTGTGTTGGGTTTGTGTGTCTGTGGTGGGGTTTTGGTAGCAGGGGAGGGGGCTACAGCGGTGGCCCCTGTGAGAAGCTTCTTGAAGCTCCCCTGGCTTCAAGTCAGACCTGCCTCTGGCCAAGACTGAGTCAATTAGCGATGGTGGCTGCACCTCTGCAATAACATGTTTAAGAAGTAGAACTTGAGAGGAGTTGTGAGGAGGACACCTATGCAAATACTGAGATATGTGGAAGAAAGGAGAAAGGGGGGGAGATGCACCAGAGCAGACACCCCCCACCCTGCAGCCCATGGTGAGGCAGGCTGTCCCTATGCAGCCCTTGGAGGTTAACAGTGGAGCAGATGTCCACCTGCAGCCCGTGGAGGACCCCATGCTGGAGCAGGTGGCTCTGAGGGAAGCCTATGCTGGAGCAGTTCGTCGCTGGGAGGACTGCAACATGTGGGAAGGACCCACACTGGAGCAGTTCATGAAGAGCTTCAGTCCTTAGGAAGGACCCACATCAGAGGAAGTTCATGGAGAACTGTCTCTCATGAGAGAGGCCTCATGCTTGAGCAGGGGTAAGAGTATGTGGTGGTTTAAGCCCTGCCGGGTCCGGAGACCACGTTGCCCTTTGCCCCTCCCCCACCCTCAGCCGGTCAGGCTGGAAGTTAAGCACAGACCCCGGGCTGAAATAAGAAGAAATTTAATACAACAGAGTGATAGAACAATCTGAACAACAACAGTAGCAATGATAGCAACAATAACCAGCAATAACAGTAAGCAAGACAAATGATATACAGAGAAATACCGCAAATGGTCAGGGAACAAACCTGACCTCCGCCACCAAAAAGCCACCAAGGGAAAGAAAAAAAAGTTCCCGCCTGGACCTGACTTCAGCATGGTATGAATAACCCGGCTGGAGATCCCTTCCCCCTCTGTCTCTCTGCTGGAGAAACTTAACCCTATCCTAGCCGAACCAGGACAGAGTATGAAGAGTCCTCCCCTGAGGAGGAAGGAGCAGCAGAAACAATGCGTGATGAACTGACCACAGCCCTCATCCCCTTCCCCCCTGTGCAGCTGCAGGAGAGGAGGTAAAGAAAGCAGGAGAAAAGTTGAGTCCAGGAAGAAGGGAGGGGTGGAGGGAAGATGGTTTTAAGATGTGGTTATACTTTTTACTGTCCTACACTGTATGATTGGTAAATTTAGTGGTGGTGGTGGTGGTGGTGGTGGTGGTGGTGGTGTCCAGTTTACATTGGTGTTCTTTTTCTTCCACAAACAATCTGTCTGTTGCCTGTAACCATAGCTGGTGAGTCATCCCTCCCTGTCCTTGCCTTGATTCCTGAGCATTTTGTTTTATTTTTTCCTTCCCATCCCTCAGGGGTAAGGAGTGAGCAAGCATCTGAATGGTATTCCATTGCCTTCTAGGCTTAAACCATGAAACATGCTCACAGGCCTTGATCTGGCTAGGGGACTTCAACCACCCTGGCATCTCCTGGAAAAGTGGCACAGCTAGCTGCAAGCAGTCTAGGAGATTCTTGGACTTCCTCCTAATCCAAGTAATAGAAAGCCCAACCAGAGAAGATGAGTTACTGGATCTGTTGCTCACCAACATAGAGGTCAAGATTGGTGGTAGCTTGGGCTGCATTGATCATACTCTGGTGGAATTAGTGATCTTCAGGGATATAGGCCACATGAAAGGTATAGGCAAGTCCCTAAACCTTAGGAAAGTGAACTTTCATTTGTTCAAGGAACTGGTAGATGAAACCACCCAGGAAACTGTCCTCACAGATAAAGCAGCAGAAGCAAGCTGGCAGCTATTTAAAGTCATTTTTCTTACAGCACAAGAACTATCGATTCCTATGTGCAAGAAATCAGGCAAGAAAGGCATGAAACCAGGATGGCTGAGTAAGGACCTCCTGGTCAAGAGGGAACTGCATAGGCAGTGGAAGCAGGGACACACAACCTAGACAGAATATAGGGGTGTAGGGATGGGATCAGGAAAGCTAAGGCACAGCTGGAGCTAAATTTGGCAAGGGATGTGAAGAAGAATAATAAGGGCTTCTACAGGTATGTTAGCAGAAAAGGAAGACAAAAGAAATTGTACCATTTGTAATACATGAGACAGGGGTTCTGGTGACAAATGGAGAAGGCTGAGGTACTCAACAATATTTTTTACCTCAATTTTCCCTGGCAATTGTTCTTCCTACATTTCAAGTCCCTGAATCGCAAAGTAGGGACTGGTGGAATGAATCATCATATCATAGAATCACATAATCATTTGGGTTGGAAAAGACCCTTGGGATTATTGAGTCCAACCATCAGCCCTACTCTACAAAGTTCTCCCCTACACCATATTCCCCAACAGCTCATCTAAACGACCCTTAAACACATCCAGGGATGGTGACTCCACCACCTCCTAGGGCAGCCTATTCCACTGTCTGACCACTCTGTGAAAAAATTTTTCCTAATGTCCAGTCTGAACCTTCCCTGTTGGAGTTTAAACCATTCCCTCTTGTTCTGTCACTAATTACCTGTGAGAAAAGACCAGCACCAGCCTCTCTACAATGTTCTTCCAGGTAGTTTTAAAGAGTGATGAGGTCTCCTTCAGCCTTCTCTTCCTCAAGCTAAACAGTTCCAGCTCCTTCAATCTCTCCTCATAGGATTTATTCTCCAGGCCCTTCACCAGCTTCGTTGCCCTCCTCTGCACTTGTTCCAGCACCTCGATATCTCTCTTGCATTGAGGTGCCCAAAACTGGACACAACACTCCAGGTGTGGCCTCACAAGTGCAGAGTACAGGGGGATATCACCTCCCTACTTCTGCTGGTCACATTATTTTTAATACAAGCCAGGATGCTGTTGGCTTTCTTGGCCACCTGGGCACACTTCTGGCTCATGTTCAGCTGCTTGTCAATTAAAACCCCTAGATCCTTTTCTTCCAGACAGCTCTCCAGCCACACCTCCCCAAGCCTGTAGCGATGCAGGGGGTTGTTGTGGCCCAAGTGTAGGGCCTGGCACTTGGCCTTGTTGAAGCTCATGGGACCTGATGAGATGCATCTCAGGTTCCCAAAGGAACTGGTAGATAAGGTTACTAAGCTGCTTTCCATCATATCTGAAAACTCATGGCAGACAGGTGAAATCCTCAGTGACTGGAAAAAGGGAAACATCACACCCATTTTTAAAGCAGGTAAAAAGTAGGACCCTGGGAACTACTGACCAGTCAGCCTCAGCTCTATACCCGGCAAGATCATGGAACAGATCCTCCTGGAAGCTATGTCAAGGCATATGGATGAGAGGGACGTGATTAGAGACAGCCAACATGGCTTTACAAAGGGCAAATTATGCCTGAATAAGCTGTTGGCATACTGCAATGGAATGACTGTGTTGGTAGATAAGGGAAGAGCAACTGATGTCATCCATCTTGACCTCTGGCAAGGCCTCTGACACAGTCCCACACAACATCTTTGTCACTAAATCAGAGAGAAAGTGGTCTGATGGATGGACTATTGGATGGATAAAGAGTTGGTTGGATGGTCACATCCAAAGAGTCAATGTCTCAGTGTCCGAATGGTAATCAGTAACAAGGGGTGTTCCTCTCCTGTGAAGAAAGGAACGCCTCTCCTATGAAGAAGGTCTGGGAGAATTGCAGTTGTTTATTCTGGAGAAGAGGAAGCTCTAGGGAGACCTTATTATGGCCTTTCAATATGTAAAATAGGGTTTATGAAAAAGATGGAGAGAGACTTTTTACCAGGGTCTGTAGTAATAGGACAAGGGGTAATGGTTTTAAACTGAAAGAAGTAGGTGTAGATGGGACTTAAGGAAGGAATTCTTTACTATGAGCATAGCAAGACACTGGAACAGATAACCTAGAGAAGTAGTGGGTGCCTCATCTCTGGAAGTGTTCAGGATCAGGTTGGATGGGACATTGAGCAGCCTGATCTAGTGAAAGATGACCCTGTTCATGGATGGCAGGTGGAACTAGATGATCTTTAAAGGTGCCCTCCTACCCAAACCATTCCATGATTTTCCCTAAAAGTCTTTAAAAGTTTCCACCCACTTCGGAAAAAGGATATGTAGAGATAAATAATTTTTTAATTAAATCAACTCTGTAGTGAGTAAACAATTCCAAAGGAAGAATAAGAGTTTCCCTAATAAAACCCAAATATTTTACTGTTCACCTAGTATACTATTCATACTCTGTTTCATTCCTGTTGAATATGTATCCCAGTGATGTTAATGGTGAGCCTTTAGGCAAATGTTACTTGTGTATAATTTGGTGAGAAGATTTGGAAGTATCTCTTTTATATAGAATTTTCTGGGAAGGTTTAACACTAGATTTATCTTAGAGTATAGGATTAAATAATATTAGCACATCCTGTAGAAAAAGATGAATCTCAAATGCTGATTCATTCTTGATCAAAGGCATTTATAATCTCTTTTGTGTAATACGAAGTACTGCTCTCAACATAGACTAGAATGATTTGCTCTGAGCTGAAGAAACTAACTGAAGAGGGTCTGTGTTTGAAGCAGTAGATAGGATTGTAATTGTTTAATGAATTTCAGGTATATAAAAAAGTCACAGGTGATAACTGCATGCATGAAAATTGTATCCTGTGTTTGACTTCATTGCATAGTATTTGCTTTTAAGTTTGCAATAGAAATTGTTTTCTTAGAAGCATGGAAAAGATTTATTACAGTCAGATTTGAAACTGAATTAAATGTTCCGATTTTTAATCTTAATACATTTTAAAGTATTCTGGAATTTCCACAACTGAATCACTACTACATAAGTATCATTAACTTTGTCTATCTGTGGGCTCTGTTTTCAAAAGTATGGGGTAGGTCTCACTGGAGTAAAATAAGGATGGGTGTTATGATTAGGAAAAGTTAAACTAAGAGTGGATGAAGGACAAAGAATTAAAATAAGACAAAGCCACTCTTCAGATTTTGCTTTTTAAACTCTTTTACTATTCTTCTCTATTTGGGCTTTCATAAAAATGGTTAATAAAGACAAATAGTTGCTTTTCTGTATGCATTGCAACTGGTAAATTTTTAATATATTTGCAGACATAAGGAAAAAAAATAAGTTTAATTTTTTGAGAAGAAACCTTGGGAATTCACAACATCTAGAAGTCTTTCAAAAGATGCCCATATTTATACACATTTAATATATTAATAATAAAATAATGACAAAAATGGTGATAATCCTATGCGGCTTTACATGTACATTCATTATTTAGAGGCATAAACATAACATTTTCATCGAAATTTTCATATGGTCAAGTAACAAGTCAAACAAGTGACTAAAATTAACATAGCTAGGCAATGGCAGAAGAACCTGATGTGGGTTTTTCTGGGTGAATGCAGAAGAGAACATCACCAGATGATCTACCCTGTCTGCAGTGAATTATTCTGAGATACGACAAAGGGTCCAGGTATCTTCAAAGTTGCACAGTTCCTGAATGAGAAAACTCCTATAGCCAGCTCCCATTTTCTGCACTTTCAATCGCAGCATTTTTTGTCTCAACTATTCCATTTGCATTGCTTGTTTCTTCTAAAACTACTACTATACTTGACAGAGTTGTGTGAGGATCAAGCAGTTTCAGAAGAGGTATGTCCACCTTTCTCTCTTGAAACACACGGTTCTGAATGGTCATGGCTAACATAGAGTCTATGCCCAGTGATGAAAGTCGTGTATTCATGGTTAGTTCATCTCGGTTCAATCTGGTGAGGTCACTCACCAGCGAGGTGATATAGTCTTCAGATTTGATTAAGGCAGTATCCTGGTCTTGAGTTTCCTCAGAGGTTTCAGGCTGGTTCCCGAATTCTTCTGACAGAAGTGACATGAAGCGACTTTTGAGTGCAGTAATCCGAGAAAACACATGATGCAATAAAGCTTGAAAGTTTAATTTGGTAACAGCTTGCTGTGGGTTATTCATAAGCAAGCTCTTCCTGAGATACTCATGAATTTCATGCACTTGCAGAATGTCTATGCCCTTGGATGCCAGAATGTTCTGAATATGTTTTTGACTGAGCAATATACCAAGGTTCAAAGCACCCCAGTTAATGGATTGGCCCGAAAGCCCACAGTTCCTCCTGTAGAGGCAAAAGACATCCAAGAAAGAGTTCGCAGCTGCATAGTTTGCCTGGGTGGAATTTCCCAGAAAGGAAGTTACAGAGGAGTAGCACACAAAGTAGTCAAGCTCCTGGCCTCTGGTAGCCCAGTGAAGATTTAGGGTCCCTGCTACTTTGGG